CACGTTGGAGGGGGAGCGGCCTGGAGGCTATTTATCTCCGTGAGGGGCCTCCATGCTCCTTGCTGCCCAGGGGGTTACAGTGCCCAGAGATCCCCCGATTCCCTGCCTCTGGACTAAGTGTCCCGCCCTGTCCCTTTAAGACTTCCAAAAAGCACTTTGTCCTCAGGTGCCCGCCTCAGGGACCCACTCACTAGTATTGGGGTCCCTGTCCCTTTAAGACTTCCAAAAAGCACTCGCCAAAAAAAAAAAAAAGCCGCTCTCTTTTCTTGGTTCTCCAGTGCTTGCCTCAGGGACCCGCTCACCGGTCTTGCTGTCCTGTTTCCCTAGTATCCAGGACCCCACGCATGCACTGTGTCTGTGCTCTGGTCCAGATGGCAGGGGCTGGGTGTTCGGCAGACCTGGGCTCCCTCTCCCTCCCATCTGACTCCTCTCCTCCCCCCGGGAGCTGGGGGGTGGGGCACTTGGCTTGTATCTTACCCCCTTCACGAGGCGCTGGGTTCTTGCAGGTGTGGATGTGGTCTGGATGTTGTCCTGTGTCCTTTGGTCTCTATTCTAGGAAGAGTTGTCTTTGTTATATTTTCATAAATATATGTGGTTTGGGAGGAGATGTCCACTGCTCTACTCACGCCACCATCTTGGCTCCGCCCTTTCAGAATTTTTTATTATGGAAATTTTTAAACATAATAAAAAAGAGGGCAAGCAGGATAATAACCCCCATGCTATGCAACAATGGACTTCACATTCTCTGCACCTGCTACATAATTTTAAACAAATCTCAGGTATTATATTATTTCTTCCATTAACACATCAGTATGTATCTCTAGTATGACAACTCCTTTTTGTTTAATAAAACCACAATGCTATTTACCATAAAAATAATCATATTAAGACATGTCGAAAAAATTCTTAAAATTTCTTTCAATCTATACTGGGTCCCCCCTGCAGGTCACTTGTCCTGCAAGATTGCCCACATCATTGATTGTGATTTAGGGTCAAGTGTGCTATGTACTTCCTGTTGTGTCACATAAGGGATCAATGACACCTGCTTGTCTTTCTCTTTGTGATGTTAAGATCGATCTGTGGGTTTAGATGTTGTTAGACTAATTTACCCTTTATAATGTTCCCTGTCATCTTTTCACCTAATAACTTCAGCAGTGAAGGTCCATTATTCATTAAGAGGTATAAATGGATGATAATTTAATTATCTCATTCTTTCTGCCTGCATTAGCTGACATTCCTTTCATAGAGGAAAGGCAGAATGTTTGCTTCTATCCTTTTATTTACTATTTTTCATATTAATGAATTGGTAGTCTAATAATCTCAAAAATATGATTTTTTAAAAAAAGATATCATTATGGACTCATGGACTCTAACATGATATATTTCACATCTTGCATTATTTTGGCGGCTTCAATCGGCCCATGTTTAACCAGAAGGAAACTTTTCAATTTGCATCTAACATACTTGATTGTTTCCTTTCTTTCTGATGTAACAAGATATCCCAATTAATCTTGTCCATTTCCTGCCTCACAACTGGAATTTGCCATTTATTTATCTAAGGAACCCTGGTTCCTTTTTTGTGAGAAATTATACTGGCAGTGCTAGTTGTTCTCATTTCAATTGGTTGACCCTTGCTTCCTAGGTTTTTCAGTGAGCAGCCATGGGAAAAACATCATGACTTCATTTCCCATTTTTAAAAGAAAAAAAAAAACATAGCTTAGCCAGCTTATTGTTTTTGATGCTGCTGGATAGAATCAATGCTAAAGTCCTCACTAAAATACACACTTGGATATTTGGAACAAAATCAGAGACCAGAAAAAAATCACAGAATAAGTGACATGAGAACTCATAAAGTATCGATAAGTTGGTGGTACTGAATAAGCCATTCCTAAAGCAAGAAGCAGAAAATTAGAGAAATTAAACACACTCAGTACAGTGCTCAGCTCATGATTGTAACTCATTAACTGATTACTTAATATTTTTTGGAAAACTCATATTAAGAGTGAGATTGTCCAAGTAAATATACATAGTCTTCAAGTAAATATATTTGTGAGCTGCTGTGGATTCCTTCCCTGGTTTTCTTGTTAACAAGATCTAGGTTGGAATTCTTTAACAGCTTGATACCCTGTAGAGTTTTGAAGTAAAAAGTGAACCCTTGCCTTTTATAGGTGTTTGGTGTCTAAGCATGCATATTGTGAGAAGCAAAGTCTTCCTAATATCCTGAGAAATTATAACCCAGATGGTTTCAACCAAAACAGCAAGCATATTTAATGAAAATATTCATGTGTATAAATTTTATCTTTGATTATATATATTATATATATATCATATTTTACATTAGACTTTGTCATTTAAAAATATGATATTTTTCTTCCAAATGAGTGAAAGGTATAGTATTAAAACCAAGGTTTACTGCTGATAGACTCAACATTCAGTCTACTATTTCATCAGTCTAGAAATCACTCGTGACGCTAAAAGTTTTCTCATTTGACACAAGAATTCAAACAGGACACTGAACTAATTTTAACAACTTTGAAACCACAAGTTGTCTGGTAAAAAATTATCTTCTTTTTTAATACAGAGGTTGCCTGAAGAAAGATGAACCTCATGTTCAGGTTAGAAACATTCCAATAAGGAGAATTTGGGGGGATTTTTTTGACATGGCTTCGAAGATTTACCTTATGAAAGAGAATTCTTGGGACTAACCAAACTCAATACACTGGGAGCACCATAAAATGAATTTGCACAGGAAAACCCCTTTCCCAGACATGGGCTCCTGAGCAGAGAGTCAGTGTGCTTCAGAGGTACTTTTTAAACAATCCTTTTGCAATGTGTAAGTGACTTTTATTCTTAAAGGCTTAATTTACTTACCAAGGAATGTGGGGACTAAGGTCCAGTAAAAATCACAGAAAATGTCCAGAATTAATAATTTTAATTCTCCTTTAAGGAAGACAGTTTTATTTTTAGAATAGCAAATATTTCTTATAAGTTAAGTGTGATGTGCAACAATATAAAGCTTAATAAAAGGACAACACAATATCAAATACAAGTTCCTAAAAGGACCATGTTTTGTACCGCTGGGCTCTGCCTGGATAGAAGACATAAATTCAGAACTAGATGGTGAGCATCTTGAATATCCATCACAGAAGCTCCCTGGAGATGAGTCAGTTAGACTGAAATGAACCATCCAAGCAGCAAAAGAGCCTAGTAGTAAAAAAAAAAGTAGGCCAGAGAATGAGGAAAAACAGCTGAGCACAAGCCATCTCATATGTACTTGCTGATAACATCTTGTTTTTTCCTAACTGCATGTTTTTAATCCAGTCCATTATGTAATGATATTCCCCTTTTTCCATACAGATAGATTTATACTGATGTCTTGATTTGTTAATGGAAACTAAGACCTAAATTGTTTAGAATTTTAATTTGGCTCTTAGAGTCTTCCATCCTTTTATACAAGTGTAACAAAGAAATAAAAGCTCCATTTAAGTAACAGAACACCGAACAGGTTTGAATTATGGCTCTGCTAGGGACCGAGTTAGGCAAACAGCTTGATTTTTCTGGGAACCAATAAAACTGATATTAATATTGTCTTTCTTTATATATGACCATCCTAGAAGAGATAATGCATGACAGTTATTTCAGGTTTACAGAAAAAAAAGTGCTAGTTTGATAAAAAGTAAAGTAGAACTAGTATTAAATATTAACCCTTTTTGGGTATATCAATCATGCCTGTTAATTACACAGTATGCGTTGTTTAACCAGATCCCTAAAAAAAGGTCTAGCTAGAATGGATTTTTTGGTTTTCTTCTTAAGATAGGCAATTTTCCATGGTGAGAGAATGCAAAAATGCAATTTGCTTTTTATTATTCTATTAGTATTTCAAAACCTCTCTGACTTTTCAAAAAAATTAAGTAATCCAAAATATCATGACATTAAAAGAAAAATTCAGGGAATTTGCCTGCTGTCCCCTACAAGGAATGGTGTCCTCTTCCACTGCTGTCTCCTTGTTGAAAGTGGGAATCGCCCACCTCTCTTTACTTCTTTTCCACTTTCATTCTTCCCTGGCTTAGCACATCCCCACTCCCTTCCTGGCCAACACTGACCGTATATGGGGACATGATGGGGAGAAGGTAGGGCCGTACAAGTCCCCTGAGAATTCCTTCACTAACATCCCTCTTGCCAGTCTCCTCATTCGCTCAGGCCCACTGAATCTCCATCCATCCCGCCCTTTTGAACCTGTCCCATCTCCTTTCCCCGACACTCCGAGGTCTGATCCTTCTCCTTGTCCCAAAGCCACTCCCACATGGACTCTGCTGTGCTGGACAGAACCACGGGCCTTCTGAGGGCTTAGTCGTGTCCTCCTGAAATTCATGTGTTGAAGACCTAACCCCAAATATTTCAGAACATGTCCTTATTTGATATTGATCAAAAATCATGACCAGAATATTGATACTGATAGAGTCAAGATGTAGAACAGTATCACCACAAGGGTTGCTCATGTTGCCCTTTTGTAAATACACCAACTTTACATTGCAGATGTAATTAGTTAAGATGAGGTTATCCTGGCATAGGGTGGGGCCTTAATCCAGTATAACTGGTGTCCTCATGGAAAGGGGAAATTTGGATGCAGAGACAGTTATGAACACAGGGAACATGTCTGGTGAAGAGAGACAGGGAGAAGACGGCCATGAACGAGCCAAGTAACATCTGAGGCTTAGAAGTCAGGTGAGGCCTGGAACCGATCCTCCCTCAGAAGGAACCAGCCCTGCCAGCACCTTGATTTCAAACTTGTAGCCTCCAGACTGGGAAATGATACATTTCTGTTGGTTAAGCCATCTGGTGGCCTTAGCAAACTCATACAGGACCCTTCAAATCAGTATTCTTTAAACACTGCTTGTGTTTGTTTTAGAGGAGGCAGTGTCAGTTCCCACTGAAGCAGGAAATATTTGTGTTTTCCCTGTCATGTGAGAGACTTATGCCTTAATTCTGGTTCATTCAAGGGATGTTTTGTTCCTCACAAAGATCGACACCTCTTGGAGTCAGCCCAGCTGCGCAGCTTCTGATGCAGATCTTCTCATCCCAGATGTCTTGCCTCAGGGCCCTGCAGACCCAGGAGCCTGTTGGCCTTGGATTAATTCATACACAATCTCAACATTCCTCCCAGAGCAGGAGGTGGGTTAGGCCATGAGGAGCACCCATGGCTGATTGGTGGGTATGGTCGTGGTGGCAGCATTTCTTACGTCTCTATTTCTCCCACCCCTCTCTCTCTCTCTCTCTCCATTCTCCTCACTCACTAGTTTTGGCCAAGAAAAATTAACCACAGATACTGTGTGGTTTGTGTGTGGGTTGGAGGAAGGTAGGGTGAGGGGAGGCATGGTATATGACAGGATGCAGTGAAGATAAGGCAGTTCTTATAGAGATCTGGGGTTAAAATGACTTTTATTTTTTAAATTTAACTTTTTTTTTTGAGATAACTAGAGATTCACATGCAGTTGTAAGAAATAATGCAGAGTGATCTTGTGTCCCTTTTACCCAGTTTCCCCCAATGGTAACATCTTACAAAATTACAGTACAATATAACAAGCAGAATATTGATACTGATAGAGTCAAGATATAGAACAGTATCACCACGTGGGTTGCTCATGTTGCCCTTTTGTAAATATACCAACTTTCCTCCTACACCTCGTCTTTCTCAAACCCTGACAGCCAATATCTGTCCTCTACTTCTTAATTTTGCTGTTTCAAGAATGTAATAGAAATGGAATGATACATTTATATATGTATGAAAAAAGCCTTTTGAGACTGACTGTTTTCACTTAGCATAATTCTCTGTGTGTTCATTCAATCCGGTGCATGTATCAATCACCCATTCCTTTTTAATGATGAATGCTATTCCATGGTATGGAAGTTTATTTAATCACTCACCTGTTTAAAGATATCTGGGTTGTTTTATTTTTTGCAATTGTAAGTAAAGCTTCCGTAAACATTTATGTACAGGTTTTTGTGTGAACAAAGTCTTTATTTCTCTGGGCTGAATGCCCAGGAGTGCAGCTGGTGGGTTGTAGGATCATTGCATGTATAGTTTTTTAAAAAACTGGCAAAATGTCATCCAGAGTAGTTGTATCATTTTACATTCCTACCAGCAATACACAAATGATTCAGTTTCCTCCACATTATCTCAGCATTTGGTGTTCTCTCTGTTTTTTTAATTTAGCAATTTTTGATAGGTCTTTAGTAATATCTCTTTGTGGTTTTAATTTGCATTTCCCTTATGGCTAATGATGTTTAATATCTTTTCATATACTCACTTGCCAGTCTGCATATCTTCTTTGGTGAAATGTCTTTTGCCCATGGATTATTTGCTTTCTTATTGTTGAGTTTTAGGAATTCTTTGTGTATTCTAGATAATAGTCCTTTGTCAGAGAAGTTGCTTGCAAATATACTTTTTTCCCTGCTATGTGGCTGGTCTTTTTATCCTTTTATGAGAGATTTCATGGAGTCAAAGTTTTTAATTTTGATGAAATTCAATTTATCCTTTTATCCTTTTATGGATCTTGCTTTTGGTGTTGAGTTTAAAAAATCTTTGCCTAGCCCTACATCCTGAAGATTTTTACCTATTTTTTTTCTATAAGTTTTATAGTTCCATCTTAACATCTAAGTCCATGACCCATTTTGAGTAAATTTTTGTATAAGTATGAGGTTGAGGCCATGGGTTTTATTTTGCCTATGGATGTACAATTGCTTCAGGCACCATTTGTTGAAAAGGCTGTCTTTTCTCCACTGAACTGCTTTTCCATCTTTTGTCAAAAATCATTTGGGCATATTTATGAGGGTCTATTTCTGGGTAAAGATAGTTTTACTCTGTTCTATTGATCTATGTGTCTATCCCTGCACTACTACCACACAATTTTGGTTACTATAGCTATGTAGTGTGTTTTGGAATTGAGTAGAATCATTCCTCTCACTTTTCTTTTTCAAAATTGCATTAGCTATTCTAGTGATTTTCCTTTCCATATTATTTTTTAAATGATCTTGCCTATATCTTCAAAAAATATCATTGAGAGTTTGATAGGAATTGTATTAAAGCTCAATATCAATTTCAGAGAATTGACATTTTTACAATAGTGAGTCTTCCAATCCCTGAACACAGTGTGGCTCTTTATTTGTTTAGATCTTTCTTAATTTCTTTCATCAGCTGTGTAGTTTTACAACAACTACGTAGTTTTCAGCATACATGTCCTGTATATATTTTGTTAGATTTAGATCTAAGTATTTGTTTCTTATTTTTTTGAATAATTATACATGTTGTTATCTATGTGCTCATTTCTAGTATATAGAAATAGATCTTTGTATGTTTATTTTATATCCTACAATCTTGCTGAACTCACTTATTAGTCCTAGGAAGATTGTTTTTTTTTTTTAATAGGTTCCTTGGAATTTTCTGCATATGTCACCTGCAGATAGGGCCAGTTTTATTTCTTCTTCTTTGTTCTATATGCACCTCACTTATTATCTTAATGCACTAAATAGAAATTCTAACATTGTGTTGAGTAAGAGGGGTGATAGTGGGCATCCTTGCCTAGTTCCTAATCTTGGGTGAAAAGCACTCTGTCCTTCACTATTAACTATGATGTCAGATGTAGGTTTTTTGGTAAATGCTCTTTATCAAATTGAGGAAGTTCTGCTCTACTCCTATTTTAATGATAGTTTTTCTTAATATTATGAATGGGCAAACAGTTTTTTAATTTGTCAGGTGACTTTTCTTCATCATTTGATACATCATATGATTTTTCCCCCTTCTTAACATGATGAATTTTATTGACCAGTTTTCATATTTTGAATAAGCTTTCATCCCTGAAACTCCATTTGATCATGATATAAATTATTTTTATATATTGCTAAATTCTGTTTGCTAACATTTTTAAAGGGTTTTTGCATGTATAATCGTTAGAGATAATAGTCTCTGACTCGACCTCTGGAGGTGCCTTTCTTCCCACAGCAGGACGCAGGCTGTGGGGAGAATCTGTGGCTGTCTGGTGACCAGGGTCGTGGTGGTGGCATTTCCTGTGCAGCTCTTTCTCTCCTCCTCCCCTATGAGAATGCCCATTTGGTCAGAAGAGATAAACAACAGACACTGAGGTGTGCATGGGTTGGGGGAAGGATTTTTGGGTAGATGAGAAGTGGAGGGTGGAGAGCAGGGTAATGTAGATGAGCTGGAGATAAGGCAGCTCTTGCTGAGATCTGGGGTTAAAATCATGCTTCGCCTAGACCCAGCCTCCCCACCACACACACACTCCATTCAGGTTTTAACAGGAAGTGGAAAAAGGCACTGGAAGCGCAAGGTAAGTTTTCTACTTTTTCCTGAAGCCCCGGCAAAAACAACTGGTGAATCTCAGATCCTGAGAACCCCCAAAATTCAGACTGGCCAGAAGGAAAACAAAGTTGCCTGTCCCACCATTCAGAGAATAAAGCTCTGATGACTCTGACTTCAACAGAGGCTTTCAGAAAATGTGAACTTTGAAGTTATTCATGCTCATGTTTTTGATGGGTATGACGGCCCTCTGGACTTACCATTTCCTGTGTTGGTTCCATTAATCTGGCTGGCAAGGGAAATGTTCTCTCACTACTTTTTATGTGTTCTACTCAATGTTGCGTGCATCATTTTGGGACCAGTTCCTACCTATTGCTTATTTATTTATTTTTACTTTTTTTCCCACTACCTATTGCTTTAATACCTATGTCCAAACATTAGTTAATGTTTAACAATTTCTATGCAAAATAGGCTCAGGATAACTTTAGTAATATGTTTCTTCTAGGTCTTCTGTATTATTTTTTGCCAAGTCACAAAATAAAGAAGGAATGGAATTTATTTTATGTAGATTCCAATACACCAATTCAAACCACAAAGTTCTGAGGTATCAGTAGAGACTGACAGCATATGCTCAAGTTCATTGCTTTCATATTTAAAATGAAAACACAGTAACATATTCATCCTATGGAAATGATAACCTCATAAGTTACCCACTAAAAGACATTAAACAACTAACAGAAATTTACCTAAATCCTCGTTTGTGTTATGCTTGATTAAACACACCAACAAATCCACCAACCTGGCCTAACCCTAAATTAGAGTGAAGACAGCTGAGCAGATCTGGCCACAGTCCCTCAGCAAGACTAATTTTCTGTTAGCTTTCTCAGGGCTATTTAATTTTTAGCTCTTCTTCCCATGGGGGGAAGGCACAAACTGACCAGATTTTATGGAGGCTGACTGTGAGATAAAATATAGAAAACATACAGAATTAGGTACAGAGCCTTGAAAGTTGCACGTGCAAGTGAGAACTCTGCAGCTTCGGCTCCATTAGGGTCACAGTAAATCCAAACCTCTGGTATATGGAAAATGGATCATGTGTGAGTCTTACAAATTCCCTATATGAGCCATTTTTCTGCCAGACATTCATTGTTTCTGACATCATTATGTAAGTATCTCAGACTCTTTCTCCCTATCTCTCAGCTACTATCAGTTTGATTGTAATATCAACCAGGAATGCACCCAGAGCCTTTCTATTCTGACCATTTTGCTGAAAAATATCTTGCACCAAAAAGATACTTTTCTATTTGCTCTGTTCTTTCTCATTTACAATCTTGAGTGACTTGTCCACTGTCACAGCTGGGGATGCAGAGACAGAAACAGTGTCATTATCTTCCAGCCTTGGAGTGGCTTAGAACTTTTTTCTGGAATCTCCAGGGCCTCTTATCCAACAGACATTATTATTGTTGTTCATTTCGGAGCCCAGTAAAAATTCCTTATTGCTCTGCTGACAGATCTGGCTCTCCCTTTGAGTACAGCTTGATTTCTCTAAGCTCAGTTTCTTCATCTGAAAAACTGGGCTAATAATAGGCCCTTCTTATAGTGCTGCTACAAGGGTTAAGTGCAATAATAGACATGTTGGCCCTTAGGAAAGGGAGCATGTTTTTGGATGATTCTTCCTGCGCTGTGTATCAAATACACTGAACTTTTCTAATTTTCACATTATCAAGGGATACATCTGATGCTTTGGGGAATGTAATACTGACTTCACTCTTGGTCATCTAGATATGTTATTTTGAATTTTACCTGTTATCTTATTTAGGCTACTCCCTATTTTCATATTCCTTATGCGACTGATCCCCAGACCATAATGCCAAGACATGTTTTTCTCAGGAACCTC